CGGGCGGACCCGCACCCACGCGCACCGCTGCCTGCAGCGGGCAGGGCGGGCTGCCGCGGGGGCCTGGGCGAGCCCATCGCGCCGTGCGCGGAGGGAGGGAGCGAGGGAGGACGGACCGACCGACCGGCGGGCGGGCGGGGGGAGCCGCCGCCAACCGGGTGCGCGGCGACCTGATCCCTGTCCAACATGGTCGCCGCTCACGCCTCCCATTCCTCATCCTCCGGCGAGTGGATCGCTTGCCTGGATAAAAGGTATCGGCATCTTCACAGGAGCGGCTGCGGAGGGATGCTGTGTGCGTGTAACCTGCCCCCCGCATGCGTGCGTGCATGCATGCATGCATGTATATATGTGTGTGTGTGTGTGTGCGGACGCCCCCCTCCCCGCTCCCCATCAGATCCTGCCTTACATAAGGAGCGTGCAGGTGGGAAGCAAAATGCCCGGAGGAAGCCGAGTCGGGGCGGACGGGCAGGATGAGGGCTCGAAATGCTCCGGCAGCGGAGGGGACGGGTAGTTCCCACTGGGATAGCTGTTCTCCGCCGGGCTCTGCTGCCCGGAAAATGCTGCACGTGGTGGAGGAGGGGGAGCTCCAGGGCGGGGAGAGGGCGCCGCGGCCCGGCGGCCGGGGCCGGCCGCCCGGGGCCCCGCCGTGCCAGCCGTGGCAGACCCGCTGCCTGCGGCGATCGCGCCCCAGTCCGCCCTCCGCCTCGCCTCACAGCCCCTCACCTCGGCACACCGGCTCCGGCCTCGCCTCGCCTCACCTCAGCACGCCGCCCCCCCGCCTCGCCTCGCCTCACAGCCCCGCGCCTCACCTCAGCACACCGCCCCCCGCCTCGCCTCACCTCACCTCAGCACACCGCACCCCTCCCTTCCCCCCCACTTCACAGCCCCCGACCCAGCCACCTGACAGGGCGGGCGGGAAAGCGCGGACCCTCGCCTCAGAGCACTCCGTGGCGCAAGCAGGTGCAGGACTGTTGGCCGGAGGGTGGGAAAAATAAAAATGTCCGCCCCGAAAAAGGCCGCCGGAGGCTCCCGTCAGCGGCGGCAGCCTCTTCTCTCCGCAGCGGTGTCCTGGGGGCCTGCGGTTGTCCGCCAGGCTGGCGGCAGCGTTTGCTGCGGGTCAGGTACAGGTGGGCGGCCAGCACCGCGTAGGTGGGAGTTATGGCTGGCTAACGTGTGCTCAGAGGTGGTGTGCTCACTTCTAAAAATACAGGCAATTTTATTTTTTTTTTAAATAAATTCTTTGGACTGCTTTCCCCGGGTGTTGCAGCAGCGAGTCTCACAGTGTTGAGTTGCATGGTGGGTGGTTTGAACGTCCTTTGCTGTATTCCTACCTTCAACACTTACTGGATTAGTTCATAAGTGAAGTAATTTGATTTCTGAACGCTCAGTGTCTCGTGTAGTCTAGGAAAATAGTTAACAAAAATTTACACCATAAATATGCTATATGGTTCAAATAAAGCTATCAAAGAGAATTCACTTACATGGCATATAGCAGTTTACTGAGCATCATTAGCCAGCTTTTCGCAGTTGATGCCATTTGGGGCTGCGCTGTGGAGAGAAGCCTTTGTGCACACAGAAGGAACCTTCCTTTTCTCATAATTTCTACCATTACCAGGTGACCTCCTAGTGTTGTAGGACTGCATCTCTGATTAGGTTTTCCTTAACAGTCCAGGCAGCAAACTGTAAGAAGTTAATGAAACTTTCAGTCTAGACACCTACCACATATACTGATCCCCCTCTGTAACACATGACTTAAAAGAAGACTAACCGCTTAGAGGTTGAATAATGTCTATAAATGTTGAAAGTACTCTAAATGTAAATACAAACAGAACTGGTGATGGTAACCTAGCCATATAAAAACCAAAGTGAAGCAGAGGGCCTGATTGTCCGCTCTGTAAACTGACATTGTGCGGATGTGAAGAAGCAGGATATGAGCCCCAGTACTTTTAGATAGGTAATCGTCTCAGTTCCCAGGTTTCTTAAATGCAATACATTGTGAGATCTAAATTGTAAACTAAAATTCAGGGGTTTGTGCTTAATGGGGTGCATAGCCTTGCAGAGTGAACAACGTTTTTAGGAAACACGTGAGGCATTTTGTTTAGAAATCTCTCTGCCACTATATTTATATGCAAATTAATATGCTGACCATTTTTATAATGGGAATTTCATTAGAGCTCTTAAGATGAAACTTTTTCTTCTCTTTTTGTTACTTGGAGTAAGCTAATGGCACCAATTTGTTGAGTGGAAAGAATCAGTTCCAGGTGCCCTGAAGGTTTATGTATTGTTATCCTTCTTTTCCGGAAGGCAATCTGAATGTAGGACAAACCCAGGACATGAGAGATTGTAGGTTTTTTCCTGGTCTCTGTCATGCTTTGCTTTGTGATCATAGGAAGTACACTTAGGTGTTTTGTTCTGGTTTTCCATTTAAAAAATACAGTTAAAGCTGTGTTGGGAAAGTGCTATAGAAATCTAAGTACTATTAGGTATAGCATTTTTAATTAATTTACACACTTGTATTTCTAGAGTGTATTTCTTTTCTATAGATGACTATCAGTGTACTCATTTGAATTATTATGTAATTTCTATGTATTTTAAGCTTTTAAAAAAATCTTATAGTATTTTCTAACCTAGGTGTGGATTCTGTGAATATAGGATAATTTAACGAGACAATTCTCTGTAGGATACCATGTGTTTTTATTAAATAATAAATATAGTTTTAATATGTTTTAGTTAATTAATATGTTTTCAGGAGGAAGGCAGTTCTAAAACTGGTATGCTTTAGAATTTTAGGTGAGCCTCAGCAAAGACAATTAAAATGGCATGTAATATGGATTATCCAAATTCATTCTTTTAAAAAAGGGAGAATTAAACTCTAAATGGAAATAACAAAACACATAATGTACAGAAATGATGTGTTTTGTATATGTTCTTCATGTTTTTCTCCAAGTCACATATCAAACTAGAACTACTAACATCTAAAACAAGAGCATGTATAAAAATGAAGAATGACCAAAATGTTTCAGGAGAAATGTTATTACTGTGCAGAGTACTGTGGGCTAGCACCACCAGTGCTTTGACCATGCAGCTTCCGTGTGTGGTTACTAACCACAAAAGCCAAAGATCAGCACTTTAAAATCAAATACACAGGACACTATTTATATATAAAGTCACAAGTGCAAAGGTAAGGAAAAGTGGGAACAGAAATGTTCAGAACACTGTGCTCTATCAGGAATATTTTATTTTTGCAGGAGAGAAAGATCATCAGTGGTGAGCAACTGTACATCCTGGTTGTACCTGGAGATGTAAATAATTTTTATGTTAAGGAAACCAGTCCTTTTATCTCTGAAGTAAATAGTTGCCTTACCACTGATTTCCTAGGGAGCAGAAGCATGCCTACCATCTTAGCATTTTTCTGTATGTCCAATCTGCACATAATTAAAATAAAGTTGCTGATTTATGCAAGTGTGTATAATTAGCTTAGAAACAATGTCTTCTCTACTCTCATGGTTTCTTTCACAAGACTATCTAACCAGGAAATTTCCATATTGACATATCTTTACTGAATGGTAGACAAGGTATTTTTTACGTAACTATTATTTCTCTAAACCTGATCACAGTTATGAATTCAGGTGTTTTAATTGGATTCAAATACAAACTTTTTAATGATGTACAGCATTCACAACAGTCAGAGATCCCAGGATTTCATACTTGTCTATGGCATCTTGTGTTTTTCTCTGTATTAAATATAACTTTCAGTCCTTAGCAGACTGGAGGAGTAGATCACAGAGCAAAGCATGTAACTTTGCTAGCCTGTTGTGCTAAGAATGTTATGATCTTTGCTCAGCTATTTCTAAATTATTTAAATATGAATGGGCATTTCGAGGACATATTGTACATACCGAGCTTTTATATCCTTGTTAGACTTTCCACTTGCATCATTTACATCTAACAAAACCAAAATAACACATACAGGATAGTATCTCAGATCTGTACCTTAAGCCAAGCTCGCATAGATTTGATTGTAAATTCGGACTGAAGCTATGTAATGGCAACATATTGGAATCGGGATTTATTTTTTAGTTCATTGTAACATATATTTGAGGTGTAAGTTATCTATATATGCTTAGGAGTCAACAGGTCTCTTGTGAGTATAGAGATAGGCTAGAATGAAGAACTGATATTCTGAAAGAATTGTCATAAAAGAAATATGGAAAATGCTTGTCATCTTCTATAACCTATAATTATGTCAAAGATAATGGGATATAGGTTTATAATCAGGCAATATTGTGAATATTTTAGAATTGCTTTACAATGCTATTTTATTTACTTTTAAAATGTATTTTTATGCGATTGGTAAAACATACACTGACTTCTACCCTTGCTTTTTATTTGTAACAAATCCATAGAAATAACACCACCATTTTTCACATAGTTTGGATCTGAACAAAATCATTGACATACACTGCAGCTCCTGTTGGCCTGCGTGCTTGGCATTTTCTCTCTGTATGTCATATGTGGCTAAGCTGGTGTATACTTGGATCAAGTCTGTGTGGGGATGTATCGGCAGCAGGCACCACGGTGGATGTGGAAACTCGGAGACAGAGCAGTATAGACATAGCCCAAATGCTTTCTAGCACTTGTGCAAAGGTGCACTCTTCTGAAAATGATGAATAATAACAAATTTATCTTTACGTGTCATACAACTCATTTTCTAGTCCAGTGCAAAGGTGCAGTCTTTGATGAATAATAAAAAAGCCCTTTTTCTTTCCGTATCTTCTCAGAGAGACCAAAATAATTGTTAATATAGCTTGCCATAAGCTTGCAGATCTGTGCATTTTATTGAATATATGAATTCATAATAACTCGTAGAGAGCAGGAGTTGTATTTTAAACAAATTCAAGCTGTTTTATTCTCTGCTCTCGGGCTTAGGCATTTCTAGTGTCAGCTTCCATTTGTTACATGTGGTTGCAGTAAGTTACACACTTGTTCTATGAACAGGTATTAAGAGGAAGAAAAAGTGATTGCCCTAGCATTCATGTGTATAAACATTGTCATGGCCTACCAGAACAAACTAGTACATGCACATGCCTATTAGGACATGATATATTCAAATTTAGTTGGTAGTCTTGTGGAGTGGCTGCATGACTGGTGTGGTACTTGTGCAACTGTAGGTTTTCTCTTTTACCAGGTGATACCGGAAAAGTGTCTAAACTGTCGTTGCCTGAGTTATTTCTGGCATGTTGTTAGGATT